AACAAAAGTTAATGACAAAGTCTTAGTGGATATCAAACATTCCGCTATGTTTTACAAGGTGATCATAGCGAATAGGCAATTTTCTCCATCTACAATTTACTTACATTTTACAACAGAAATTTTATTCAATTTATGTTTTTATAAATTCAAAATCCACATCATAAATACTATTTAGAGCCAAATTAAACAACATTTTAATATTTTTTCTCATATCTTCTGGCAGTTATCTCATTTACTTTTGGAAGCTTAATTCTAGTTTGCAAAATTTACTGCGTAGTTCAATTTGAAGTTTATATTATTGAACTTTTTTAAAATAATCTTTTCGGAAAAATATTATGCAAGGAGCAGAAAATAATAAAATTTATGAAATTTCTTCTGTAAATTTATGCTTGATGTAGGTGATATATTGCAAAAGAAAAAATGCCAACATATTGTCTTCATGAATACGATATTGACAATATCAAATCCAATTGATTTAGGGAAAATTAGAAATGAATTTCTGATTTAAGACTGGCCTGAATGAGATGAAGAATGATTTCTAACTTGCATTCATCTTGCAATAATGAAGAAAAAAATTGGCGGGCGGAAAAGGCGGAAAAATTGAGATTATGCGCCATTACCTTTCAATATTTTATTTCCTCATTTCATTTCATATTTGAAATCTTCGGCTTATTTTTTTATCATTTGAAAGTCATTTGTTTTTAATTGAAATTAGAAAATTCTTATCTGAGTAAATGCAAGCAGTTTTTTTTTTCGTTTTTTCTTTTTTTAATTATAACATTAGTCATTTTGTGAAATACATTATATCAGCTAATTATCTTAATTGCAAAAAATTATTTTCTCTTTTGCCATGGGTTGAAATGCTTGTGACTTTATTTTTTATCTTTTGGCGACATCAAAAAAGAACTTTAGTAGATGAATGCTTAAAAAAACGTGTCAAATTTGAAATTTATTATTATTTTTTATTTTTTTCGTAATACGTTTAATTCATTTTTTCTTTTTTTTAGCTCTCTATTTTCTTTAGTCAGAAAATTTTCGAAACTCAATGCACAAGTAATCGTTTTTTTCTAACAATAAAGTTATAGCAAAATGATAATTCCTTTTGAATTTTTTATAAAAATAAGATTGTTAAAAGTCTTAGGTAAGCAACAGAAGAAGTAATTAAAAATTAATTGACAAAAAATTCCAGTACGATAATTATTAGTTGATAAATAAATAATTAACATGATTGTCGACGAAAATAAGTAAGAAAATCGACAAAATTCGTTGAATAAATGAAATGATTGATAGATTCAAATGTGATCATAAAAGTAAACTCAAGTTAGACATAGGTAATCAAGTAAATTCATGTTTGCTATGTGTTGGATTAAATTTAAAATGAAGATTTCAATTATTTTTTGAAACGATGGCTATGCGTATTCTAATTCTTTTTTTCCAATTTGTAACTTTTAAACCTTTCTCATCTGAATTTTAAATTCATACATTGACAAAGTCATGTCTGCATCATTCAGTTAAAAACTAAAAATAATTTCGTAACATCAAAATGCTTCAAATTGGACAAAAGATAGCAAAGGACAAGAGATTAGAAAAATGTTTATATATGTCATGAGGAGATATAAAAATTTGCGATTTAACATAACTTTTTAGTTTGGGAGCTATAGGCCGCACGTCACTTCCGCCTAATGTGGCATATGGTAACGGTAAATTATATTTAAATTTCTGTTGCTCACTGATTGATTTCAATACGGTCAATTTGAAAGGAAAAATTCAATTGTTTTTAGAGCAAAATCGATGAAAACATCGAGACGAAAATGTTTAATTTTAATGCGATATGCTGAAAGAATGGATAATGTACGTTATTTCTCTTTTTCTTTCTCTTTTTTTTATTCCTTTTTTGGTAAAAGTTAAAAAATAGCGCAGTCGTGAAGAGTTTTTTAATTCAAAAAATCAATCTTTCCACTGTTTAAAAAATATAAATTTGATAAATGTAACACAAATGTTTTAAATTTCAAATTATAAATTCATTTGATAAAATCGTTTCCAATATATTAAAAGTTTTTCTTTTGAATCAAGAAAAAAATTGCAAAAAGAAATTTTTTAATAAAATTTGTTTAGGAATGAAATACGATAGGAAGATATTTGTTAGAAAAAAAAGTGTCTCGTTGATAAGCTTTCGGTGACATCTATAAACTTAAAAGTCAAATATATACTATCATGAAACTATCAATAATTAATTCTTTACATCGCAAGTAAAGATTTAATCAAAAATTAATTTTAATTCAAAACAATATTTACTTGCAAATAACATAAGTTCGAGTACAAAAAAACTATAGGACATAGAATACGTAAACGAAATGTGAATAATGATAATTAATTGATTATACGATAAAAATAATTTGATGAAGAAATATTTGGCTAAGTAGAGTATGTGAGATGAAAAAGAAAGATTATTTCTTACATATCAATTCTACAGCTGAAGCTCTCTCTGTAAGCGTAAAGCAAAGTCTATTACTAATGAAAAATACGCAAAGTTGTTAAAATCTATTGGGAAAAAGCCTAAATTGAGGATTCCAAACATTTGAATGACTTGTCTGGATAGCCTATTTGTCGATTAAAGTTATTTATTCTCAGATAGCTCATTCAACATGAAATATGTTGTAAAAGTTTTTACATTCTTCTAACTTAGCAATGATTTGAAGAAAATTTTGATCAGTAACATATTTAGAAGTATTTGATAGATATAAATATAGTACCGGTAAAAAGAAAAAACAGAAACATGAATTAAGATATCGGATGGAAATGGACAATGGCCAAATATCGAATAAATGAGTTAGGAGATGATATGATGAAAATATTGGCTATGCGATATAGAAATCATGGGAAAGAAAAATAAAAAAACTTTTTTTTCTATTGTTTTTCTATCTTAATGGAATTTTTTCAAATAGTTTGACCCAGTGTAGTGAAGGCTTCGTTGGCTATATCAGTTTATTCAAAACCGACTAATTCTACTCATGAATATGTTTTACTCTAAACTTTCTATTCATTCATTTATTTTTCTTTTCACTTTACAGACTTTTAAAAAAGAAATGAGTAAGAAAATAAAGAAAAGTATTTTTAAAAAAAAAGTGTTTTGAAGCAAAAGTTGGAAACCGAATCTTCAGATAAATTCAAATTCAGTAGCTCTGCCTTTCAAATTAAAATTAACTTGGTTCTATGTTGCTCGATAGAATCATTACACTTAATTCAATAATCATAGATCTAACTAACTTTTGGCTTCATGTACAAATTAGATATAAACACAATTCGTTATTTGTTATTGGTAGTATAAAAAGTGCATTTGCAAAATTAATCTGGAAATAAAAAAGATTTAAAGATATTTCCTAGATGATTACAATTGATAAATTTGAATGATAAATACACGGTATAATCTTAATCAACCACAACACTTATTTATTCAAAGGTCGAATATAGAAGACTTTCACTGTGAACCACCGACTATGATAATACATGCTCCTACATTTTACACTTACACTTCTACATTTTACACTTTATTTATTGAATATCAGTGACACAACACCAGTATGGGAAGAACCGATATCAGTAATTCAAGGATACCTTACTGCTCGTCGATTGTAATGGCAAAGATAGCAGTTTTTGGATAATCACAGGAGTTACATCAGCATTTTCAGCTATACAGCGCAAACTTTTCAATTAAGGACAAAAAATAAGACTGTTACAGCGAGTCTTTTTGGTTTCTCTGAAACACAAGATAGCATCTTTAAAAGTGGATGATAATAGTTGGAAACTTGGAAAACCCATCAAAATAATGACTTATTTGAGTCAATCACCTAAAGCCGATTACTATTTTTATTCAATAAACGCATTGACTTATCCATCAAGTAGCTGCCGTCACAAATATTCTTTCCTAACACACAAACTACTACTTTGTAAATATATGAAATTGAAATTTCTAGAAATATATTGATGTGTCTAACAAATCGGCATAACGTCCGATAAATTTCATTTCTGCGAGGACCAATTGTTTACAGCAGAATTTTTCGCTTGACAATTTGCTTCACAATTTCAAAACTCTTCCTGTCCATGAATAAAAACAGTAAATTTCGTTAAAATTAGGCTGCGATCGTTATAAAACCAGCCATGAGCAAATTAAAAAAACCTCCACAAATCTTCAAATTATAAATCTAATCGTACGCTTTGCATAATTTTCATCGCTATGTTTACGCAATTAATTAGTGGAAAAAAGTGCCAAATTTGATTTAATTTGAATAAACTGTGTCTTTTGTAAATCGTTTCTTTTAAATCTTTAATAAATTCCACATAACTCTTAATATATATTAAAATCAATCGAAAATTGATTTATAATATCAGTCATGGAATAAAATCATATTCTATTTCACCGCGCTGCTGATCCACTACGATCTCTTGAACCATGTGAGTCGACTATCGCCTCTGCCAAAAATAATTTTGCAATATTCTCACTAGTAACCTGCAAAATTTCAAAGTCGTCAATGATTTAAAAAGTAATAATCCTCTAAAATACACGATTAAAAATAATAATATTGTACAAAATATGAATAAAAAGTGATGAGTGCTATAAAATGATTCTCTCTTAACTAGCCATTTGCAATATTCAGTCTTCCTAAGTTGCTAAAAAAAATGAAAATCAATGTAAAAAAAAAACAAGCCTCTGCAGCATAGTCGGAATGAGCTCTAGCATCTGATGAACATAGAAAACTTTCCAACATCCCACATTTGGTTGTTAATTGAGGCGGCTTCATCTTTTTTATGTCATCAAACGACAGTGGAGGTTCACCACGAGCCTCTCGTTGCTCATTTTCCGCCTGCTGTAAAAAAAAATTAGCTGTATGTCATAAAATTACGATATAAAAGCTATTTGGGAAGCAGTTAATCAAATCACACACAAATATAAAGCCAGTAACCCTTTTTTGCATAGCATTGTATACTGTTAAATCGTGGCGCTGCTTATCAGCTATGTATTTTGTATACGCCATAACCGTTCTATTAAGGTCATCAACGTCGCTCATCAACGAACGAAGACATTTTTCCAAAGACCTGTAAAAAATTAACGAGGTAAAATTAATAACAGTGCAAAATATTCGCTAAAATAATGGATTTGAAAGTGAAGAGAAGCTGAAATTCAATATTTCATGACTAGAAATATTTTCAAGAAAAAACCTTCGAGTTCCAAGTTCGAGATGAGAGGATGACCGTTGAATTGCACAAGCACCTTCCAATGCTAATTCAGCTAACATCACATTCACTAAGTGACTGTTTTTAATGACTATAGGTAATTCCTCAAGCATATTCTCATAGGTCAGGCCAGTTGCTCTTGTACTGAAAAAAATAGGAAATGGATTGATAACTTAAAAACAAAAAAGCAGCACTCTCTTTTATAAAATTTTTATCAATGTAATAATTTTAAAGCAATTATAAAAACACAAGCAACTTACCTCTCCGGTGACCAGTCACCATCTAAACTCATTTCTAAAGCTTTTGTTGATAAACGATAAGCCCGTATGCTGAGCTGTCCCTGACGAGTTTTCACAGGATCTGCAACATTATTTTTAAGAAATTAAAAATTAATCCACTATTAATTTAGTTCCTTTGTAGAATTTTCAAATTTTTGAAAAAAACTAAATGCTAAATAACGATAGTATTTTTTACCATAAATAAGCACAACTCCATCTGGCACACTTGCTTGATAATCGATCAGTGAATCGATTGTTTCCTGAGCAAAACAAGCGCCGAATGGATGAGCTTGGTAAAATCCAACTAGCTCATAGTCGATATTCATATCTCTGCAAATGGATAATAGAAGACTTAAATAATTGCAATGAGTTATACGTTGGAAAAATATAAATTTGTCTAGACAGACTGAGTTTTTGAGAATTTAGAAGAATTTTAATAAAGATAGAACCTGAATTTTCGAAGCATATCCAACATTTCCGCCTGCTTTTGCTCTTCATAAAATGTATTGTTTTGCGCTATTTCATCACCATCAAGCATGGGCTCAGCCCTAGCTGTCGGAAAACAATTTGTGATTTCCAAACGACGGTCATCACTCGACACCAAACCTTAATTTATGTTTTATATAAAAACAAGTCAGCATGTGAAAAGAAACGTGCATCAAACAAGTTATTACGGAATATACTGAGAATAAAAGGTTAAAAAATCAGTTGCAAGTAACAAAATCTTAGCTATCTGAAAAAAATATCTAACCAGTCAGCAGCCCTTGACATGCCTCACCAGCTACTTCGTTTAGACCTGCGTACATTTCTGAATCAACGTGCTTCACGATTTTCATTACAACCTGAAATATTTCTGTGACTTGCTTAGCTACAATTCACCCTAACTACAATTCACATAAAATTTTGGCAATGCAGTGTTTTAAAAATTTGCGGACATTTTCTTTTAAATTCTCAAAAACAATAACAAACTCAGTAAAAAGGAAATTTTAACAGAAATATCTAGCAAGTGTAGAATATTACGCAAAAAAACATACCAAACTATCTATCTGTACGAATTGTACAATGCTTGGACCCGCAATTGTTGCAGAGATAGTTGACATTTCTTGCAACTTTCTAAAAAAATCTAATAAAGTTAAATAAATACGACTCTTCAAATATATA